TTGAACAGAATCTATTACGTGTAGTCGTCATTTATCTATATTAAATCGAAATAAGATCTATTTTTACTGTTATTGATAATTGACCGTAGGAGTGACTACAGACATACAATAAATATAAATTTTCTTACTTTATTTAAGAATGTGATAACGACAAAGAGATTGTGGTTACGGTTCAATAACTTTTAAATAAGTATTACATTATTTTCAGCTTACTAAATTTCTTCAGAGAAGAAACATTTATATTTGATTTTATTTATATTTGGCTCTTATCTTTTGCTATTATCGCAGACAATTTTTCTTTTGCATAAAAAAAGTCGTAGTTTAACACGTTCCGTGCCACGTGTACCATCGATGGTACACGCTTGCATGTTTACTTAGTGAACCTGTCTCTTATACACATCTAGATGTGTATAAGAGACAGGTTCACTAAGTAAACATGCAAGCGTGTACCATCGATGGTACACGCTTGCATGTTTACTTAGTGAACCTGTCTCTTATACACATCTAGATGTGTATAAGAGACAGGTTCACTAAGTAAACATGCAAGCGTGTACCATCGATGGTACACGCTTGCATGTTTACTTAGTGAACCTGTCTCTTATACACATCTAGATGTGTATAAGAGACAGGTTCACTAAGTAAACATGCAAGCGTGTACCATCGATGGTACACGCTTGCATGTTTACTTAGTGAACCTGTCTCTTATACACATCTAGATGTGTATAAGAGACAGGTTCACTAAGTAAACATGCAAGCGTGTACCATCGATGGTACACGCTTGCATGTTTACTTAGTGAACCTGTCTCTTATACACATCTAGATGTGTATAAGAGACAGGTTCACTAAGTAAACATGCAAGCGTGTACCATCGATGGTACACGCTTGCATGTTTACTTAGTGAACTGAACAAATTGTTTACAAGAAATTTAGAACCGAAGAATCAATTTCCACCGCAAGAATGGGCGTTGATAAGTTTTTGTTACGTTGTTATGTGTACGAGAATTAATAATTGCACGTAATACATCAAGTTTTAGTAAAATATCAAAGTGTGAAGATTCGAGTAAAAAAAGCTCGGCACGGAACGTGTTAATGATGACGATCATATTTAATAAGGTTGTTTATCGAACAAATCGTTTCGAGGGCAAAAGGTGTGAAGCAAGACAAATGAAGACGACCGTTTAGTTCGAACAATGAGGGAAAGAGTCAGTAGAGTGAGCCTTTGCAGTGGCGCGTCGTAAATAATATGGCATCCGCGAAAGCCACTTTAGTGGCGCGTCGTACCTAAGAGGTTAATTCACCCGCAGAAATGTACGTGTTTCAGTTGCGCCGCTAGAAAAACTTTCCAACATCGGTTCGGTTTCTAATATCTCGCGGAACGAAACGTTTTCCATCCGATCAAAACAATCCAGCATCTCGCGTGTTCGAGGAAAGTGATGCGTGATGTTGACTCGAGCCACACACGTAGCTACTCATCGCGCAGCACCGTTCAACTGTCTGACCTGACAGTTTCGCGTTTCGTTCTCTCCTAGCATCGGCGAACGACAGCCGGTTCTGCCGGTAGAATTGAAACGGGCCGACAGACGAACGGAAAGACGAAGCGTGAGAGGCGAGCACTTTGCCAACCGAGGAAACAAAGTGGATGGACTATCCGTCTCATTGTCTTTCACTTACGTTCCGCGCGCGAGCCAACCGATTTCCCATTTTTACGGTAAATCAGGAAAACTCTGTTCGCGCACGGATATGTTAGATCGCTGCGAGGGCTTGTTACTCGAACCTACTCAAAATCATTCGACTTTAACCTCTTAGGCACGGCTGAATTCTGCGCGGGCTGTTCACTCTGTACGGCAGAATTTGACGCGAATTACGCGTAAACGATACAGCACTGCAATGCGCGACACTGACGCGTCATAAGCAAAGACTATATATTTTGTCTGTACAGGGTGTCCCAAAAATGTCTCGCAATCCGAGAATGGGAGGTTCCTGAGGTAATTTGAAGTAAGTTTGTCCCTGGCGAAAATGCGATCCATGGCTTTGTTTACGAGTTATTGAGGAAAAAGAGTGACCAATGAGAGGTGAGATATGCTGGCGCAAGGCGGCCGAGCCAGTGAGTGGAACCGAGCTTCGTGCGCTCATTGGCTCGGCCGCCAATCACTAGGCGAGCTCGCCTCTCATTGGTAGATGTTTTTCGTTAATAACTCGTAAACAAAGCCACAGATTGCATTTTCGCAAAGGAAAAAGTTACTTGGAATGATCTCAGCTACCCCATATTTCCGTAACGCGAGACATTTTTGGGACATCCTGTATATTATTAACAATGTTGTAAAACGTTGCGAGGGAAAAGGTGTGAAGCAAGACAAATGAAGACGATCGTTTAGTTCGAACAATGAGCGAAAGAGTAAGTAGAATGAGCCACTATAGTGGCGCGTCGTAAATAATATGACATCCGCGAAAGCCAGTTTAGTGTCGCGTCGTACCTAAAAAGTTAATTCACCTGTAGAAATGTACGTGTTTCAGCCGCGTCGGTAGAAAAACTTTCCAACACCGGTTCGGTTTCTAATATCTCGGCCGCGGAACGAAACGTTTCCCATCCGATCGAAACAATCCAGCATCTCGCGTGTTGGAGGAAAGTGGCGCGTCGTAAATAATATGACATCCGCGAAAGCCATTTTAGTGGCGCATCGTATCTAAGAGGTTAAGAACGAATGACTCGAGAAGAAAAGTTGATCTTCGATGGTGTTTCGATGGTGCGTCGATTGCGAAACTTGGATACATTTTGAGTGCATAGACGAAGGCAGCAACAGTTATTTTTATTTGTGACGTTCGTATACACGAGCGAAAGGTGTTTGTTCTGATGGTTATACGTAGACTGCGGATTCCACACATTTGCGACAAAAAATGAGAATAAGTGCAATTTAAAATAACAAACAGATTAGAAGAATTCGAGAGCACCGATACATTGGTTTCAATTGATTCAAATCGTTAAAAAAAAGGAAGTGCTCTTGGCTTCTGTTCGTTACAATCGGTGCAAAGAATTTTTATATTTTTATATAAATTCACGATCTACTCATAGTCCTTTTGCTGAGAGTATTAATTAGTTTTTAAAACGAACTCGGTAGTTGAGCAGTACGTCACCTTTAAAAAATCGTCACGTTAGAAAACTTACTCTATACGAAAATTATTCCAACAGTTTTCAATAGTTCTGCTTATTTAGCCAATTTGATTATTCCGTTTCAAAAAGCTCTGCTAGATTTGCTTCACTACTCGCAAATTTCCCTCGAAATTCAGAAGTATCGAACGATGCGTCGAGATTTTTGCGAGACACGATATTCAATGCGCCGTCATATTTTATTGACCGACTGTGCGAAATAAAACGTCGAATCCACGGAACAAAAAGGTGATTTTTTTTTACTTTTAAACGAAACAACGAATTCCCTTTTTTTATGTGCGCCGGTGATTATTGAAGTGGTCGCGCGTATCTCGTTCTAGATATTTCGATATTTGCATACGAGCATGTTCAAAAATACTTCTCCATCACAGAACGAAATATTCCGTAAAAACCACTAATCTGTTTGTATGCTGTTCCACTATTTTATATGTAACCGCGCCATTTCTACGGATTTAATGACAAAATTGATAGCTAAAATGCCAGAATTAGTAAAAGAAGTTTTAAGAGCACGCAGCGAGTACATCGAAAAAAAGAAACTTCAATTGCTTTTTCATTATTGGTTAAATATTAAATACAGTAATATTATTATGGTTAATTATGGTTAATAATATTATATAATTATTATATATATATATAATAATAATATAATTATATATTATATTATTATGGTAATTATTATGGTTAGATATTAAATATTGATAAAATATGTCCTCTAATATAGTACAAATTGTAGATAGCTATCTTAATTAAGGAAGCGTAAATGACTTTTGATAGCCTTCTGCTTCTTCATCATTATTATTTTGAAAAACGTCGACAGAATTGAAAATTGAAACGAAAATTATCTTGCAGTAAAAAATTTGTTCTATGAAAGTGACGAAGACATAGGAGTGCACAAGATAAATGAAAAGTCCTATAGGAACAATAGAATATGCGAACATATAGAAAACACAGAAAAACGAATAGAACACTGCATAAACGTACAAAAGAAAATAAATAAGAGATTCGGTTGGTTTCTCGTTGACAAGAATATCACGCGGTACCTTCCAACGTCTGATACATATTCCTAACGCGGAATCAGCAGTTTATAGGAAATTGGCATTGTAGATGTAGGGTGGAGCGTGTGCAGCGTCGCGTTCAATTATTGGGTTGACAACTAAGTAATTGCCGATTTCAGTTATAGATGTCTCTCACTCCCATTTTTATGATATCCGTAAATGTTATATTATAAAATTATTATTATTATGTAATTTTTTATTATCCGTGAATGTTAGCAACTGGACAAATTGAATGCAGCGGTCAAGGAAAAGCGACCAGAATTGGTCAATCGTAAAGGTGCCATTTTCCAGCAGGACAATGCTAGGCCGCACACGTCTTTGTCCACTCGGCAAAAATTCATGGATATTGGTTGGGAATCGATGTTACACCCACCATATAGCCCCGATCTCGCGCCATCGGATTACCACTTATTTCGATCCCTGGACAACTCCCTTCGTGGTAAAACTTTTAATGACGATGACGCTGTAAAATCTCACTTAACTCAGTTTTTGGCCGAAAAGGATCAGACTTTCTGCGAGCGTGGAATTTTCAAGTTGTCAGAGAGACGGCAAAAGGTCATCGAACAAAATGGAAAATACAGTACAGATTAAACTTCGTTCCAAGTAAAAAAGAATTTTTTATTTCATTGAACAAATCGGCAATTACTTAGTTGCCAACCCAATAAATACGAGTAAAACGTTGTCTGTTACGGGGATTGTGAACGCATGAGCGAGCCAGCAATATCTTAGAACGACACGTACATACATAGTTAATACAATGTGTCTCCTGCCCCTTTCAGCTACTCCCGACGTCCGAGAGGCACGTATTATGTGAGGTGAAACTTGCAACGAGGGAAACGAAGATGTCCGCCATCAGCGTGGCTGCATGGCTGCTCAGCGCCGTCGCTTTCGCCGCGATTAATAACGGTGAGTCCTATCGTACAACCTTTATTCGTTTCATTAATAATTACTGCACGCCGCGCACGTGAAACCGTAATTCAATTTCCTACGTTATACGACTCGACAATCGGCCGGTGTCGCTGCCGGATGATCCTGCATTTCTGGGGTACAAGACGAAATAAAGGGAGCAAAATGTTTTATGATTCGGAAATTAAGGGCGGAAGCAGAATTGCATCTACGTTTAATCACAAAATGTAATTGTTGTCTGAACCCGAATATTTTCCGTTTTACGAAACAGTGGATATATATATATATATAGCAATCGCTAGACTGTTGATCTTCGTGCAAATTCTGATTTTAGATAATCATTTTCTAAAGATCGGAAAAATTGCTCGTGTCGGTTAGTAAAATAAGTTTTAAGAGCACGCAGCGAGCACATCCAAGAAAAGAAACTTCAATTGCTTTTTCATTATTGGTTAAATATTAAATACGGTAATATTATGGTTATTATTATTATTATGGTTAGATATTAAATATTGGTAAAAAAAAATATGTCCTCTAAAATACTACAAAGTGTAGATAGCTATCCTAATTAAGGAAGCGTATCATTATTTTGAGAAACATCGAGAGAATTGAAAATTGAAAAGAAAATTTAAAAATAAAAATAAAAAATTTAAATATAATCATTTTCTAAGGATTGGAAAAATTGCTCGTGTCGGTTAGAATTTTAATTGTTGCGAACATGGAATAATAAGTGCAATTGATTCTCATGCACGTTTTCTAGCGTTATATACAATCTTGGATATACCATAAATGCACAATGATGATCGGCAGACTGATGATCGTTTTTCAGAGTTACTCATTTCTAAGTTACTCATTTTCGATAATCGTAAAACAGAACGTTTGCAATCGTTCATTTGGTTGGTGACGACAAATGTAATATTTAGTATAACATATTGAGTCGTCGAATGCCGAACTTGAATAATACCATTTCTTTTACCTTTTCTTTACAAATATAAAAATCATTTATCTGCAATCGAAGTACGTATCTATAGCGTTTATTCGCTTTTATTATAACTTTCCAAGAGAATCGACAAACCGTCTGTTCTCTGTCGTGTCACGCGCTTAATTCGGTCGTGCAACTACGAACTTGAAACATCAGCGTTGTGGGAAAATAGCAACGAATTAGAATTTCGGAACGGTCGCGTTTCACGGCGCTATGCCTGTCCGGCATGCGAGTGATAAGTTACTGGATAATCACTATTTTTCATTTTATCCGTTTTATATCGTAGGCTGTTGCCACGGCTATTATGCCGGTATTTCTTTCGCCACTTGTTTGGAGAACGTTCCTCGCGGATTTTAATTGGCGGCAGACATGCGAGCGATACGGTTTCGCCCCGCTATTTGAAGTCATAATTAGATAGCGGGATCATCGAGACTCGAGAAAACGCTCGCTTTTATCGAAGCTCGATAAGAACGGTATCGTAGAAAAGATTGCGAAGCGGGGAATTGTTCGATCGACATTTTTATCTCATTAAAGTCGTGTCGCTTTTTACTTGAAAAAGTAATCGCGTGCCTTAATTGTTGCTTGAGAAATATTTGCTGCGATGGCTTTTTGAAGAATGAAGAATAACAAACATCTAGAAATCGTAGAGATCAGTTTATCGACTAAATTAGCTAATTATTTGCGCGATCGAGACTGAAACGCTGAGATAAATGAATCATAATAATTCATAGGTGTTAAGTGCAACGTGCTCTAAACGTGACTAATGTGTATTGCCTTCTAAAAGCGACAAAAGCTCAAACACATTGAGATAATTCCCGTTATAAATGTTCTTTTACAAGAATCTCTCAAAGTGTTTCGATTAATGATGCAGGAGATATGCGTGGTTTTGTATTCCACTTCGAAAGCGTTCAACGGAATCACTCACATTTTTCCATTTTAACTTTGACGGCGTCAAATGGACATCGCGAAATGATGGAAGCAATAGCCACTTGAACAAATCAATAAAGTGAGCTGTGCGTTATACGATGTAACACGCGACATATTCAAACAACAATTTATTTTGATATACACTCTCTCCGAAGATTAAAGTGGCGAACACTGCAATTATTTTTGCATCCACAGAGTCAAATTAAAACTATTTATAAAAGGGCCGTCGAGACTCGATGAAATCGTCAACAAAATAGCCAATGGCGAGATTGTGCTTTTGTATCATACAATATAAACAGAATTATAGTCTGATTCAATTATTAGATTCACTGTGTGTAACAGCAGTGTTAATTTGATAGCACATCATTAATATCTATTTCCTTAATTAATGCCTATTTATCAACTAAATTTTGTCGTCGTGTTGTGTGTCCATTAGTATTTTGACATCAAACAAATATAGAGGAATAATAGCCTACGAGTAATACTATAATAATTTTGTTAATCAAACTAATATTAGTATAATACTTCATTTTCACATAGACGAAAAGCTTTATCATCTGTATCTTTATCATCATTATGTATTTGGACATCAAACAAATATAGAGGAATAATAACTTACGAGCAACACTATAATAATTTTGTTAATCAAACTAATATTAATACAATACTTCATTTTCACATAGACGAAAAGCTTTATCAATACAATGTCTAAATTTCTCTTCGTTTGTATTAGATTGTGTCCAGAATTGCTTTTTAAAGTTTCAATATTGATGCTTTTTTTTGTCGAATTTCCTTTACAATTTCTAGCTGCCAATCTCAAGCATTACAAATTTATTGAAATGAATGCATGTATCAGGCGAGCTCGGCCGAGGCGCGAGGCGGCCCAGCCAACGAGCGCACGAAGCCCAGTTCCGCTCATTGGCTCGACCGCCTAGCGCCAGGCGAGCTCGCCTGGCCATTGACGCACATTGGATCGGCCATCTAGCGCCACGCGAGGCGGCCCAGCCAACGAGCGCACGAAGCCCAGTTCCGCTCATTGGCTCGGCCGCCTAGCGCTAGGCGAGCTCGCTTGGCCAACCAGCGCGCGAAGCCCAGTTCCGCTCATTGGCTCGACCGCCTAGCGCCAGGCGAGCTCGCCTGGCCATTGACGCACATTGGATCGGCCATCTAGCGCCAGGCGAGCTCGCTTGGCCAACCAGCGCGCGAAGCCCAGTTCCGTTCATTGGCTCGACCGCCTAGCGTCAGGCGAGTTCGCCTGGCCATTGACGCTCATTGGTCAGCGTTTTTCGTTGATAACTCGTAAACGAAGCCGCGGATTGTATTTTCGCTAAGAAAGAAATTACCTCAAATGTTCTCAGGAACCTCTTTATTTCCAAATTACGAGACATTTTTGGAACATGCTGTATAATAACGTGACATTAAAAAGCCAACGAATTAAACGAATGAAAAATAAATAATCTGTTAGTACTTTCGGTGATATTCGCAAACGTGCAAATGTCTGGATGCTTTTGGACGGTATAATAAGTATTGCCAATATTCATGATCGATGCGTATATGTGTACACGTGTACAATAATATAAAAAAAACACCTTCATCTTATCGGAAAATCTCCATCGGTTTGGCCAACTCCGAAGAAAGTTATTTTCATTTGAGGAACATCCGAATTCTATTAATGGAAGTCGGCGTAGACGTGGGATATTCATGGTCGATGCGTAATTAAAATAACGCCAGCGGGACCACTGTTCGGTGTGTCCGGCAGCTTTTCATACCGCGGAAACTTCTCGGTCGCTCGAAAGTCGTTCACATTCAGCTTGGAATTCAAGAATGGCTCTTTCAAGTCGTTAAGGAACTTTCAAGTTCTTTTCTCGGTATTCCGGGCGTTCTTGCTGCGGCTCGGTTCGGCGCGGCTCGGCTCGTCTCGGCTCGGCGCGACCCGGCGCGAGAGACCGGTCGGAAGAACGCTGACATTTCGAATGCAAGGTGAAGCAATTAGCGTTAACGGTGTTACAGTTGCAAAGTGATTTCCAAGCCGTGGCGGGAAGCCTGTGCTCGTCGCGACCAACAGGAAGCGGCTAGGGGTAGGGCGTCGCGTCGATCGCTTGGGCGGCGACGAAGACGACAACGGGCCTCGACAAGCGGGTTACGACGAGCTTTAACATTTCCTCGAGCGGGACATCGTAATTAAACATTCCGTTCCGCGAGGGCGCTCTCGACGGTCGCGCTAGATATCTAATTTAATTTTCTCGGCGGCCCGATGATATTAAGTCACGATTACGCCCGGAAATTATATGCTCCTCCCCATCGCCCTTATTATCTTTCTTCTCGTCGAAAAGCCGCGACGAAGTTGAATCTACAATTCAAATGTGCAGGCTTGACCTAGAACAAACGAACGGCCATCCCTCTCTCTCTCTCTCTCTCTCTCTCTCTCTTCTTCCCTTCTACTTGGTTCTCTCTTCTCTTCTCTTCTTCCCGTTTTTTTCCCTTCGCGATCGAGACACCGAGCTACTTCGTTCCGCGAGCCCGAGAAGAATAATTCCCGCGATGAACGTGCACCTTTTCGTTTCTGATCTCTCCGCTCTGTTCTCTCTGTGTACCAGAGACTGCAGAGACCATCCAGGAATTTCGTGTCCTCGCATATCGAATTGTAGGGGCTCGTCAGCGCCGAGCCTGGAGGGATGCGGCGCACAATGATCCCCCAAATCAAAGTGCGTACGTTTGTTTGATGATACACGTCTGCACGCGCTCGAGCAACCCCGATTCGCTCCCTCCGAGGGTGGGAATGTAAATAACGACGAATCAGGGTTGCCGTGATGTATTCGAGATTTATCCACGGATCCGCAAGGTCGCATAATCGCAATGCACCCGCGAGAGTGGTTTCACCGCGACCGGTCCGCGTTAATTCAAATATTATCTTTTTTGCGGCATTCGATCCTGAATATGTACGATGTAACATGGATTGACCGAACTATTGTACTGAGATAAATAGCGGAACACCGAACGGCGAGCCATTTGTACGTCGGACAGTGGTAATCTGTGGTTATTTATGCAACGTATCATTTGGAAGCGCGAATGTCGATCTAGAATTTAATACCTC